CCTTGTGCCCAGGGTGGAGGTGACTTGGCCATGGTGGTAGCGTTGTGTGCTGGGTCACGTGGCTGTGCCATGGGGCCAGCTGTCACTGGGTGCTTGGGGCTGGGCTGCGGGCTCCGGCCCCACACGAACGTAGCGGGCAGTTTGGAGTGGTCAGGCGTTGGCACGCGGCCAGTGATTCTGGAAGAGGTGGGGCCCGGGCCCGGTTGCTACCTCTTCCCGCTCCTGTGTGGCCACTGCTCCCCCCACGCTGGGCTTCTGGTGCCGGAGAGTGGCCAGTCCAGGGAGCAGAGTGCAGCAGCGGGATTGCTACTCAGGAGTCCCTGCGCCCCACAGCCCTGGCCAGGCGGAGGGGAGAGATTCAGGAGGGGCACATGAGCCTGCTCCGCCCTGGGGCCGTGGAAGCGGGGAGCAGAGCAGCAGATCTTGGCTTAGCGAGTGAGAGGCTGGTGCCCGTGGCTGGGTCGTTCCTGTTTCGCAGTCGAGTAGGGCGGCGCTGCTCAATCTTGCTACTCAGGAGTCCCTGCGCCCCACAGCCCTGGCCAGGCGGAGGGGAGAGATTCAGGAGGGGCACATGAGCCTGCTCCGCCCTGGGGCCGTGGAAGCGGGGAGCAGAGCAGCAGATCTTGGCTTAGCGAGTGAGAGGCTGGTGCCCGTGGCTGGGTCGTTCCTGTTTCGCAGTCGAGTAGGGCGGCGCTGCTCAATCTCCGCCGAAGCGGGGGTTCATGACTGTGGTGGTAGCACTCTGGAAAAGGGGGTTATCCGCCTGGGAAGAAACACCAGACAGGGCTGTTAGTGTTGCCTGGATTGTCCAGAAACGGCCTCGGGCCATTACAAAGGGACCGAGAGACACGGGCTGCACAGGTCTGGGCGTCCCCACCGCCGAGGGAGGGTTGAAGACCCCACAATACCCCGCTCAGGCACTGGAGCGCGCCCGGGGGAGCTGCTGGCCAGCCGAGCCCTGCGTCGCCCTGGGGCTGCACTTCAGTTCTGCAGCCTTTGCCGTGTCGGGCCCCCAGCCCAGCCACATGCCCCTGATTTCTGGAGAGGGGGGTGTGGCCAGTTCCTCCCCGGGGCACGTTGCAGGAAGCCAGGGGCCTCCAGATGCGCTGGGTTTGGGTCCGGGCACCCTGTGTCTCCCACACGGCCGACAGGAAAGTCCAGCCCGTCTTGCTCCCACCCCACGAGCTCCCCTCTGCGTCTGTCACCGCAGCACCTGCAGCCTAGGGACATACCAGAGCCCCTGGCTCTGGCGCTGGGTTGTGGGGGGCAGAGGGTACATGGGACCAGCGGGGATTCAAGCCTGGGATGGGGAGGGGGGCTGGAAGGAGGGGGACTGGGATGAGGAGGGGGACTGTGCCTAGTCCTTCCCCAGAGCTGCATGGGGGCCTGAGGCCCAGAGACCTCCTGCCCCACACTAAGCCCAGACGTCACCCAGTCCAGCCTGGCTGGGGCAGGGGGGATTGGGCGAGGGGAGGGGCAGAGCCAGCTTACGTCATTCCACTTGGCCTTGGACTTCTCCTTCTCAAAGCGGCGGTATTCCCTGCGGTCGAGCGCCTCCATCACCAGCCGCCACATCACCAGCAGCAGCAGCCCGATCAGGGCCACGCCAGCGATGGTGCCACCCACGATGGCGACGATGTTGGGGGGCTGCGGACACTCTGGGGAGCAGAGAGAGCCCAGGGTTTGCCTCCTGCGGTGCAGAGTTCAGCCCTGCCCAGCCGGGGCCACAGCCAGCAGCATGGGAGCGGCGCTGGCACCACGGGCCTTGGGAAACCTGCTCTGCGCAGCAAGCAATGCACTGCAGGGCCCAGCGTAGCGCCCTGGCCCTGGCCCGCAGCTGCTGGCTGCCCCCCCCCGGGACCCTGGGGGGCAGACC